AATAAAATTTCCTTTTAATTTATAGTGTTGACCGTAAAATTTTCAAAGAGAGAGAGAGAGAGAGAGAGAGAGAGAGAGAGAGAATTATATTATTAATTAACAAATAAGCTACATTTTTATAATGTAATTTATGAACATTACGGAACAGTTGGTTTCGCTCACTTTCAACTCCGGAGGGTTTGCTAAAAAGCCAAAGCTACTAAAAAATTTGAGAGCTAAAAACTACCTAGCCGCCGCTAACGAGTTCGACGACATTATTAAGTATACAAATCCAAACACTGGAAAATGGGAAGACTCTGACGAACTAATAAGAAGAAGGGCAGAAGAAAAGGCATTATTTCTTACACCTAGTAATTAGTAATAATAATTAGTTGTTTTTACTATGGTGTTTAATGTGCTTTATTTACCTTTATTTACTTATGTTAATATCTGTTTTAATTTTGATTATGGTTTGATATTTTTAAGTGCCCTCATTTGATTTGACTTGATTAAATGTTGCCTTTGATCATATTTTTAGTTTATATTATTGATTATTGTTTGTATTATTATAACATTGATAGTTATTTTACTATCACTAGAATATTAAATAATCCCACAAAATATTTAAAATTTTATAATTATTTACAAATTATTATTAATTATTTTATCAATTAATATTAGAATTCTATGTCTATTATGCAATCCTTATTAATATTTTAAAATTTATTTAATAGTAAATAAATAAATTTTGTATATGAACCTTGTTTATTAATAAAGTTATATAATTCTGGATTATTAATATATTTTATAATTTATATATTAATTATCAAATTACAGTATAAATAATTAATACAACCATATTAAATTAAATCTAATTAATTATTTAATTATTTTCAATATTAGGTATTTCTGTTTATAAATAAAAATAATGTATATATTAATATTATTAGTTTTTAGATATAATCATGTCGACATTTTATATTGTACACTTAATTAAAATACCAAACTGGCCAATATCAAATTGAAAATTAATTTTAAAATTATTGAATTAAATACAATTAAATATAATTATAAATGTCGGGCAATAGGATAGCGATCATCGGTGCGGGTCAGTCTGGTTTGGGTGCATTCAACGCCTGCCGGGAACAGCACTTCGACGATGTGGTCGTGTATGAGAGGTCCGACAGTCTGTGCGGTCTGTGGGCTAATAGGGATGAAACACAACGGGAGGTGTGCAATACCGGCGCCCGACTATTGCCAAACACAACACTTAACAGTAGTAAAGAGATGAGCGCCTACTCCGACTTCCCGTTCCCACAACACTATCCCAATTATGTTCACCACACGCTTATGGTAAATGTTGTTTATATAATATTTTTAAACACGTTGTTTAATTAAATTAATTATTTACTATTAATAGAGAGAATACCTGTTATTATACGCGGAGAGAATCGGTATTAAAGATAACGTAAAACTAAGACACGAGTTAATTGGTTGCCAACAAAACACGGACTACGACCGGACGGGTCGATGGAGGCTAACGGTGCGCGACATCGACAACAACCGGGTGTTTGATGACGTGGTCGATGGGGTGATTGTATGCTCCGAACGTTATCACGGGCTGGTTATACCCGACATAAAAATAGGCACTTATATGCGGGATGTGTTGTGCACACAAACGCTGTGCCGGACACGACTGGGTTAGAGGGCCAGCGGGTGGTTGTGTTGGGCGTCGGCAACTCAGGCATTGATATGGCGGTCGAGTTGACCAAAGTATGTAAACAAGTAAGTTAGAATGCAAATTTTATTAAACCATGATCCAATTAATTACACGGAATCAATTATTTAAACTATGAATAGGGTAAAACATTTGAGACATTTAAAATAGTAGACTTATAGATTAAAGAGTCATTATACCAATTACAATATGACCAGTGTATTTATCGTCGCGCACCGGGTGTTGGATATTTGGCCGCACTTTTTATAAAGGTATACCGACTGATACTTTCCGATTGAGACGTTGTTTTGATTGGATGTTTGAGGGCAGGACGTACCCAATGGCCAGTAGATTGGTCACAACATACCTAAATAAAACCCAATTTGACCACAAATTATTCGGACTTAAGCCTAAGCACCGGGTGTTCTCTCAGGGCGTAGTGTTTAGCGATGATCTGGCTAATAATATTATTAAGGGCTTAATTACTATGAAAAGTGATATTCAAGAATTCACTGCGACCGGGGTTATATTTGAAGGTAGCTGCGATAAATATTTAAAACATCATAAAATATTTTACTATAAACAACTAACAAAGTCAAAAGTTATTATTATTTTGTCTAATAATTTATTCTTAATTTTATTTGTAATTAGTTAATTATAATTATATGATAATTTTTATATTAGATACACAATAAATAATATACAATAAAATTTCCTTTTAATTTATAGTGTTGACCGTAAAATTTTCAAAGAGAGAGAGAGAGAGAGAGAGAGAGAGAGAAAGAATTAAAGACTGTAAAGTCTATTATGGTAACTATTAACATAATTTAAAACTATAATTCATATAGATGATTATTGGGTTATACACGGGAGTACTAAACTGTAATATATTTTTAAAATACATAGAATATATTTATAACAATATACCAACTTAAATCTATTGGATGCGCAGAAAAAGGAGAATCACTAAAGTGCCGCGCGGCAAGTGCCTCGCTAGAAAGTGCCTCGCTAGGCATTTTCCACTAATTTGCAAATATTAAAATTTTTAAATACACACATTTATTTAACTTTGTAATAATACATTTATATTTGTATAAAAAAATTTTAAATCTAAATTTTTAATTTAATAAAAAATTTTAAATATTTTTATTTTACAATTTTTATTACAAATATAATTGTATCATTACAAAATCAAATAAATGTGTGTATTTAAAAATTTTAATATTTGCAAATTAGTGGAAAATGCCTAGCGAGGCACTTTCTAGCGAGGCACTTGCCGCGCGGCACTTTAGTCATTCTCCAGAAAAAGTGCCTTAATTAATTAATTATTTACATTTATATAATTCAAAGTATTATTATAAAGTTAATTCTACTTTAAAATTTTATTTAAATAGTTAAACATTATTTTTAAATGTGTCATATTTAGTTAACATGCATATCTTGATTATTGATTACTAATTAATGGGTTTTATAACCCATTGTTACAAAAATAGACGAAACTGTTGAGACACCGTGCGATACCGTCATATACGGCACCGGTTACCAACAGTGGTACCCATATTTGCCGGACGAGTTACGCCCGGAGCTGAACCCCTCCCTTAAACTATACAAACACATATTCTACCCGCACCTAAAACACGCGCACACTCTGGCCATTACGTTCAATATAACACCGGCCGGTGCGGCCAATCCAATCACTGAACAACAATCTCGGTATTTTGCGCTATTGATGGTCGACAGGTGCCGATTGCCATCCGAGAAACGTATGCTCCGGCATATCCGGCGCCAAAAGGCGTGGGTTATCCGACACTACCCCCGGTATGACAAGCACTCAACGCACGTGCGATATATTAAATATATGGATGAATTGGCCCGAGAAATGGGTGTTAAGCCCCGGCTCTGGAATTATGCGTTCACTGACCCAAAGCTCTGGTGGCGTCTATACGCCGGTCCCTGCGTTCCCTATCAGTACAGATTAGATTAGGAATGCTTAAAACAACTATGACTCTATGTAAAACTCATAGTAAAACACACCTAAGCTCATAGTAAAACGCACCTAGAGCACGATCTTAGATTAGATGGTATATTATAATTTGTTTATGATACTTGCATGTTAATGATAATGGTATTTTATTTTTGATCAATAGGCCCTAATTCATGGTCCGACGCCCGGGAAGCCATACTGACTGTCACTCAACGGATTAGAGTCCCATTCAAAACACGTGTCAATATATAATAATAATATAAAATAATTGTTAGGCCGTCCATTAACACGTTCAGATAGTAAGGCGACAATCATCATAACTTAATCTCTCTCTCTCTCTCTCTCTCTCTGAAAATTTTACGGTCAACACTATAAATTAAAAGGAAATTTTATTGTATATTATTTATTGTGTA